TTTATCTGATTATCAATAGCTTCCAAAAAGTCGGCGAAATTTTCCAAACCGGAAAAGCACACTTCTGGTAAAACACCAAACCCACTCGAGCTCCCTACTCCGGGGTCATATAAATTAAATCTCCTTGGGCACCATTGTGAAACCGCCCCCCTAAGGTGACCGTTTCTTTGATTATCCGCGTGAGCTAGAGGTGTAGATTTTACAAAAGGAATACCATTTTTAAATTCTTAATATGACTTTATTAAGAATGTAACTTAAGCGTATAACAATTTAGATGATTATAGTTAATAGAGAATCTACGATGAACAAACACACAGTAATAGTTATACCAAATCGCGTAACTTGGGTCACTATCAATATCTAATCCGCCTAATCTGACTTCTAATAATATTAAAAGTCCTAATATCAAATAGTTAATTCTACCTTAATCCAATCTTAGCTTCAATCTTATGAAGAGGCGTCTGGGCGCGCGTGTAATGGTATGCACCTTGACCTAATGGCTTAATCTTCAAGGTAACTTCAACTGGCTGTCAATTCCCGCTTGTATCACTTTCGCACTTAACATTCCCCAAATTGCCATCCGACTTACTGAAACTTCTGATATTTAAAATCTTTATTATTTGCATTTCAGCTTCACTTTTCGCTTCTTGGGTTTTGGTTGGAAAAGAATTGCCATTAATCTTGGCCCCCAAATAACCCAGAGGTCATGTTAAAGAAAGGACGCGTGAGCCCTTCACAAATTGAAGAAGTTATTCTAAATTAAGGAGTGTATATAAACATTCATATTAAACAGCATGAGAAAAGCAATAGAACAGCATGTTTTCTGATTGTTATCTAAAATGGAACAAAAAAATAATTAAACAAACATAAATATAAAAATTATTAGCTCTAATTACTTTGTAAAATACATGCTCATATTGAAAGAAAATTTTACCGAATTTTCTGTATGTAAAATATTGAAGGATGTATATGTGTTTCTTTAAAAGATTTATTTATTTAACCTTTTACTCACAGTATATCTGAATTAAATGGAAAAATTTCTTTTAAATTAAGGCATATAAGAAAAATTTATATATTATAGCTTTTTTTCACTAATTTCCTGACATAAATATTTATTCCGTTTCACCACAGAAGAGATCACGGGTTTCAAGTGTGATGTCTGCGAGAAACTTTTCTCCTTCTCCGGAGCTTTTGAGAGACACCGACGGAAACATCCCTCCACGCGGACGGACTTGCAGCACCAGTGCCCCGAGTGTAGATACTCCACGGATCGAAAGACAGATATACACCGTCACATGCTAACACACTCCGGAGAGAAGCCACACGCCTGTCCCCGTTGCCACAAAAGATTCTCCCGAGAGGAAACTCTCCGCCAACACCTGATGGTGCACACGGGTGAGAAGAAGCACGTGTGCGATGTCTGCGGTAAGAAATTCAATCGGAAGTCTGCCCTGCAGAAACACGTGAGATTGCACACCGGAGAGAAGCCCTACCGCTGCCCGGACTGCGGACGGGACTTCAATGAAGCAAAGAATCTGAAGGATCATCTGAAGACCCATACTGGACAGAGGCCCCACAGATGTCCCCACTGTGAATACAGAAGTACTCAACCAGGTAATCTTTCAAGACACATAGTGCGTATGCACACCCAACAATTTCCCCACACTTGCACTTTCTGCCAGAAGGGATTCTGCTCACCGTCGGACGTCAGGAAGCACATCGAGAGACATCACTCGAATTTCCCTTCCTGTTGAACTTTTTTGATTTGAAAAGTATTTTTTTGTGTATCAAGTTTTGAAATGGATTTTACATAAAGACTATTTCTTAATGTAAACGCTCCTTTTATTAGTATTTTGTTATTTTTAAATTGCATAAAAAGCGTCATTTATTTATTTTTTAAACATATTTTGAGACTTACCTAGAACCTGAAAGACTTTTGCAATAAAATTAAATATCTGAAATGTGTGCGACTCTTTGACTTATGTCGTATAGTTGTTTTCCTTTATTTGATTATTTGTCTCACATTTTCTTTTCCAAATATATAATTCTTTTCTGAGGGAACAAAATTTATATAACTAGAAGATAATGTTTATGAAAATGTGTTTATCTCTTCGAAAAATAACTGAAAATTTTTCACACTTCCATTTATACGTTTATTTTCCAAACATTATACAAACTGCTGCTTTGTCACTGAAGAAATATTCAAAGGTTTTTCAAGTTATTGAAAATACGAAAATAAGTTCAGCAATGATCGTCAAGTCTCTCTCACCCACGAACTGATAAGGATAACAAATTCTTTCTTAAGTAGAATAAATCAGAGAGCACTTGAATAAAGAATAATGTTCTTTATGATATAATACAGTTTGTGTACAAATACTGCTATTGTTGCTAATGCCATCTGATCGGAAAAGCCAAATAAAGGCTCTCGAAATTCATCATGGCAAAGGACTACAAGTGTAACTAAACTCTGCGGCAAAACTTTAAGGGGGATAGTACACATCAAGACAAATAATAGTAAATGGGAAACTTAGGGTCCCAAACGTCTTCCGAAGGAGATAGGTACCACATTAAAGATTAAAATCCGAAATTTCAAATGATTATAAAAAACGGAAAAATGGGTCGATTCATTAGTGGTGTTCACTAAAATTACTTTTTGCCAGCATTTCCTTGAAAAATAAGTTTTAAAGATAAAGCTAAGAAAATGTCGATAGAGCGTGCCTTAGACTTTGGAGTAACAAACAACTATTTTTTACCGTTATTTTTTGTATCACATTAAATGCTTTCAACAGCTAAGAATTAAACTTAAATTTTGAGCTCAAAATCTGATTCGATGGGGATGGTTAAGTAGCGCAAACGGAATTGTGTTCAGGAGGTGAAAATTGAAAATTCCTTCATTCTGAAGGGAGTTCAGTTATTTCCGATCTTGGTGTCGTAGACTAGGCAGCAGCTCCTACACGTACAATAAACCAAAAAAAAGGGATGACAAAATTAAAAAAAAAATCATAATAGGCATGAGCAACTTCTCTGCTCAAAATAAAAGGGAACAATTTGATGTACGCACGTAGTGCGTATGAATGAAGGTTGAATGAATTCCGAGACGTACAAAATGGTACACGAAAGATATTCTTGCGGAATCACAAAAACTGTTCGAAAGAGCGCCCACCAGCAACGATGCAGGCCTCACACCGCCGGCGGAGGGACTGTCGAACATTAGCATATACCCTGGGCATCTCCCGTATATTGCCTTACTACAAAGACAATCCTCGCAGCCAGGGCTTCGTCAGAGCCACGGGGCTTGCGTAAACAAGACTCTTCATATGGCCCAGAGGAAGAAGTCTAGGCAGGAGAGGTCAGGCGAGCATGCGGCCAATTTACCGGACCACCACGTTTAATCCATCGCCCTGGATGTGCTGTATCCAATGCACTTCGCACATCTGCGCTGAAATGTGCAGGTACTCTATCATGTTGGAACAACATACGAGCCTTTTTGTTGGCTGAAACACTTTGCAGTAGAACTTTACATCCTCACATAAAGTTAGCACCATACTATTAAATCATTGTGTTGTACACTTTCCATGCAAATCGGGTGATTTGCATAAACGGGTATTTTGCAGGAAGAAATTACTCATGTCTGTTATGAATAGTTTTTTATTTAATTTTGTCACCCCTCTCTCGTTTATTTTACGTTTAGTGGGTATTAAATGCTGCCTGGTCTACGACCGAGCATCGAAAATCATGAATAACTGGACTGTGTCCAGGGGAGGAGGTAAGTTCAGATTTCACCATCTGAACACAGTTGAGTTTGCGCTAATTAAACGTTCACAACGATTCAGATTTTGAGCTCAAAATTTAATTTTAAGTCTAAGATTTCGAAAGCATTTAATGTGATACAAAAAATAACAGTAAAAAATAGTTGTTCAGTACTCCAAAGTCAAAAGCGCTCTCTATCGACGTTTTTTTTAGATTTATCTTTAAAATTTATTTTTCGAGAAAATACTGACAAAAAGAAAAAAAGTGTGTGTGTACTTATGTACGCACATAAGAAGTTATACTTCTTTGGCGTAACAAGATTAAAATATTTCTAAAAATCTCGAGCACGTCAAACTGGACCAAGGACAAAAGGCGGTCACGAGCAGAGCTGAACAATACTAACCTTCAGTCAATCGGACCAGCCAAACCCGATATAATCACTATTTAAATAAATTTAAACACACCCGCACAGGGACAATAGGAAACAACAGGGGGGGTTGGCGACTGTACCTGGAGATGATTTGAACCAAAAATTTACACCTGGACCCACTTGAATGCCCGGGGTTAGAATGTTCCAAAAAAATTTAAGCTTTTCCCCCTGAAGACCCGAGTTTGGGTCATTTTTTAAAAAAATTAAAACATTTATAAATATTAAATAAAATAGAAACAGGGCACACCCAAGAAACTGAGCCTGGTTATGAGGAAACGCAAAATAAATCCATTCGGTGATTAATAAATGGGGTGGTGCTAGCTCGGGAAAGGGAAAGAAAGCTAACTCCCCCGGGGTGGGGGAACAACTGTGACGTAAATTGTTTAAAACCCCCGTATACGAGTAGGGTGATCCCAAAGTTTCATCCTTCTATCTCTGTAATATCGTGACTTTATCGAAAGATCGAACCTCATATAGAAATAACATGGGGATTCTCTAATTTTAGTGAAAACGCTTCCTCAGGCCCACTATGTAATAAATGTGTTTATGTTCATCGCAATGCTTTCGTAGTAAATGCATCTATAATCATATACTAGTAATTATTATTTAAATAGGTAATCTAATTCTCTTATTTGTATTACATGAAACAAAATTTAATGATTAATTTACTAATTTTTTTTTAAATTTTTGTATGATTGGTTTAACAAAAAACGTGCCAAAATGCATCGGAGGGTTCCCTAGGCGAAGGACGAACTCTCCTACTAATAGTGACGTCCAAAAAACAACATCAACGCAAAGCAGGTTCCTGACAGGAGGGAGGGAGGAGGTTTGTTCAGTGGTGAGCATTCGACTACTGATCGAGAGGTCCCCGTTTCAAACACGGGTGTCCCCTTCTTCAGGGAAGTGAAGGAAAATATTTTTTTTAAAAATTTTG